ATATTTGGCCTCATTTGCTTTATCATTTATTTTCTCTTTATAAATGTAACTTTTTTTTCTGTACCATTTGAAAGTAAGTTGTATCTTTACATCCCTGTACTCCTCAAATACTTCAGTATCCATTTTTTAAGACTAAGGATGTTCTCTTACATAACCAGAGTATAGTTTTCAATGTTAGCAAATGTACTATTATTACAATACTTTAAATTTTATACTCCATTTTTGTATAGCCTTTCTTTTTCTTTTATGAAATCTGCACTTCTGAAGAATACTATCTGTCCTCCCTTTATTTTTTTATCCAGAATGTTCCTCCTTTTGTGTCATTTGATGTTTCCTCATGATGCGATTCAGGTTATATATTCCTGGCTAGACTACTACGTCAGTGATTCTGTGTCCTCTCAGGGCATCCACATTATGGCTGTCTGCCCCTCATTGGTAATGTTAGTTTTGATCAGCTGGTTAAGATGCTGTATGATTACTATGTTACTGTATTTTCCCTCTTGCAGTTAATAGGAATCTGTAGGGACACATTAAGACTATGTACATATTCTGTTCTGCATCTAAATCCCCCCTCACCTCTGTCAAGTTGTCAGCTTTAGCATCCACTCGTGCTTCTTGCCTGAACCAGCCTTGACTTTGATGGTTACAGAGGCATAACTTTCCAACTCTAGCACTTCCTCCTCATTTACCAGTTGACACTCACTCCATTGTCAGCAAGAGCCCTATCTTCTCTCCTATGTGTTTCTCTCTTACTAATATGAACTTTAGTGTATTCCCCCCTTTTTCCCCTTGTGGTCTATAATTTATTCCTTTTTGAAATTACTTTGTTGCTCAAATTGTCCCAGGTTTGCCTACTGAGAGCCCTTTTGCATTGGGTTTGTCTTTGTGACATGTTCCTATCTTCCGTTTTTTGAGCACTTCCTTACTTTCTGGCTCGTCCTCTACCTGCCCACACCCTAGAATCAGTCATTTCTCCAAGGAACTCTTGTTTCCTTTAGTGGGGAATGGTGTTAGAAACCAAGATTTGGGTGCTAGGTATCTTCGTTTCTAGACTCTTTCATCAGAAGCTAGGAAATAGATGTGTGTATATACACACTATGCATCTAAATGCATATGCAAACACAGGCACATTCCTACATGCATACTATGTGTGCACATAGACATACATATTTTAGAAATTGTGAATTTTTGCATATACTACAAATTCTAGTCTAGCCTCATAGATTTC